TTAATTCATAGAGCTCCTGTGGCCTAAGTTATACAGGAAGACTGATTAGATGATCACAGTTGTTTCTTCTGGCCTTAAAAAAATAAATCTATTGATCATGACATGGGTGGTGGGTATAAGACACAGGGGAAGGTGATACCTTCAAGAACTGCCAATCCAGTCCTGCCCACAATCCACCTCCAACCCCCACTCTCCTTCAGTGAGTCTCCCCCCTAGGACTGTCTGGGATTCACAGCATCATAGAATCCTAGGGCTGGAAGACACCTCAGGAGGTCATCAAGTCCAGCCCCCTGCCCAAAGCAGAACCAACCCTAACTAAATCATCCCAGTCAGGGCTTTGTCAAGCCGGGACTTAAAACTTCTAGGGATGGAAATTCTACCACCTCCCTAGGCCACCCATCCTAGTGCTTCACCACTCTCCTAGAGAAATAGTTTTTCCTAATATCCAACCTAGACCTCCCCCACTGTAACTTGAGACCATTGCTCCTTGTTCTGCCATCTGGCACTCCTGAGAACAGCCTCTCTCCTTCCTTTTTGGAGCCTCCCTTCAGGAAATTAAAGGCTGCCATAAATTTCCCCTCACTCTTCTCTTCTGTAGACTAAATAAGCCCAAATCCCTCAGTCTCTCCTCATAGGTCATGTGCTCCAGCTCCCTAATCATTTTGGTTGCCCTCCACTGGACCCTCTCCAATGCGTCCACATCCTTCTATAGTGGGGGGCCCAGAATTAGACACAATACTCCAGATATGGCCTCACCAGTGCTGAATAAAGGGGAATAATCACGTCTCTAGATCTGCTGGCAATGCTCCTCCTAATGCTACCTAATATGTCATTAGCCTTCTTGGCTACAAGGGCACACTGTTGACTCATATCCAGCTTCTCATCCACTGTAATCCCCAGGTCCTTTTTTGCTGAATTGCTACTTAGCCCGTTGGTCCCCAGCCTGTAACAGTGCTTGGGATTCTTCCATCCCAAGTGCAGGACTCAACATTTGTCCTCGTTGAGGACAATGATGTGGCTGTGCTGCCAGCTCTCTGGAGGGCTGGGGAGATTAGGGCCAGGCATCACCTACCCTCCCATTCCCCCATGCTTTAGTTGGGGCCAGGTAAGGAGGATATTGTGTACTGCCCACTCTTCCTCCCATGCTCCGGGGCTGGGAGGTGGGGAAGGCTGGGGTTGTGTACCACCCACTGGGGAAGAGGTGGCCTATACCTACAATGGGGGTGCCTTTAGCTCCCACAGAGTCTGGGGAGCAAGGGCAGGGCAAAACAGGTGTGGCTGGGATCTTGCCTTCTCTAGTCCTAGACTTAACCGCTGCCCATGAGTCATGATAAGCTTTTAAATCTGCATCTCTCTCATTTCTTGGTGCAAATTTCCAGTTTCACCCTACTATGGCTATCTGATGTTTGTTTAAATTAAATCTTAGGGCACAGCCAGTAAATGATTTTTAATTTAATGGCCAAACTAAAATATCTGAAACAAAAATTATTTTTTTTTACACACAAAAGCAAAAACAAAACACTCACCACAAACCTTTGTTTTGAGATTGAATAAACATTTCATTCCACTCAAAACTAAATATTTAATTTTTAGATATTTTACTCCTTTTCTTTAATTAAATTTAGCTGAATTTCAAAACAAAAATGTCAACATATTTCATTTTTAACCTATTAAAATGAACATTTTGACTTTGCATTTTTTCTCCATTTTTCAGCTGAAATCATTAGCTGAACTGACCAGAATTCATGGAACACTTTATATTTTCAGGAAAATAAACTACAGGTTGAACCTTTCTAGTCCGGCACTTTCTGATCCAGCAACGTCTATGGTCCAGCATGATTTTAGTTAGATGTCCACTTAGCATGGGAATGGCCAAGTTTCCCATGGTCCCATAAAGTTTGTTTACAGCCACTAGTCTTGGCTCTCGGTGTTCTGTGCTGTTATCCAGCTCTAATTTACCCCTAAATGTCTTCTAAGAGCCCAGTAATGTGGAAATTTAATGTGGATAAGTGTAAAGTAATTCACATCGGGAAAAATAACCCCAACTATACGTACAGTATGATGGGGGCTAATTTGGCTACTACAAATCAGGAAAGAGATCTTGGAATTATAGTGGACAGTTCTCTGAAAACTTCCACACAGTGTGCAGCGGCGGTCAAAAAGGCAAATAGGATGCTAGGAATTATTAGGAAAGGGATAGAAAATAAGACCCAGAATATCTTACTGCCCCTGTATAAAACTATGGTACGCCCACATCTTGAATACTGTGTACAGATGTGGTCTCCTCACCTCAAAAAAGATATTTTGGCCTTGGAAAGGGTTCAGAAAAGGGCAACTAAAATGATTAGGGATTTGGAACGGGTCCCATATGAGGAGAGGCTAAAGAGACTGGGACTTTTCAGTTTAGAAAAAAGGAGACTGAGGGGGGATATGATAGAGGTCTATAAAATCATGAGTGGTGTGGAGAGGGCTGATAAAGAAAAGTTATTTATTAGTTCCCATAATAGAAGAACTAGAGGACACCAAATGAAATTAATGGGTAGCAGGTTTAAAACTAATAAAAGAAAGTTCTTCTTCACACAGCGTGTAGTCAACCTGTGGAACTCCTTGCCAGAGGAGGCTGTGAAGGCTAGGACTATAATAGAGTTTAAAGAGAAGCTAGATAATTTCATGGAGGTTAGGTCCATAAAAGGCTATTAGCCAGGGGATAAAATGGTGTCCTTGGCCTCTGTTTGTCAGAGGCTGGAGAGGGATGGCAGGAGACAAATCGCTTGATCATTGTCTTCGGACCACCCTCTCTGGGGCACCTGGTGCTGGCTGGGCTAGATGGACCTTTGGTCTGACCCAGTATGGCCGTTCTGATGTTCTTATGTTCAGTAAGCAGTGGAAGTGTTGGTAATGCTGTTAAATAATGACCTCCTGTGGTCCAGCAAGCTCTCTGGTTCATCACCAGTCAGGTCCCAATGGTACTCAACTAGAGAGATTCAATATGTAGTCAGAAAAAATATCATTTATATTGTAAGACATTTACTTAGATTAAATATGTGAACCCAATTTCACCTTTGTAGGATGAAGTATTTAAATCTGAAACAGAAGCAAGACAATAATCCCTTATAAGAAAGGCACTCAGACAAATATTTCTTCTGGTATTTTTTCAATTTTATTAAACAATCATGTTTTACATGTCATTAGACCTAACCCCTGAATTGCAAACAAAATGTTTCTGAGGTATTAAGACTGGAGGAAACATGCACAGCGGTGGTGTTAGAGATCCTACACTACAACAGGCTGGATAATTTCCGAACAGGCCTTTATACAGCATTTTCAAGGACAGAGGAGAGTGATATGGCATGTCTGTATTTGCATTAAGTCTTGAGATCCAAGACTCCTAAACATTAACCTCTAGTGTGGCATCACAGAGAGCACAGACATGATTAATACAGAAGAAGTGATAAATAACAATGAGGTGCTGCTGAGTCAGTCTGTACAGTACGTGGTAAGTGAAGTTAAAAGTTTACTTACTGAGCCCAGGCCCAAATCCTAAGTGTTTAGCAATCAAAGTTACACTATATACGTAGTGTATCTACCATTGCCTTGCTTGTTATCAGTACCAATATGCTCTTCCAGATTCCTGAAAAGATGTACCTAAATTCCTATTAATACCCACCTATTGAAAGAGAATACAGGACTATGTAGCACTTTAAAGACTAACAAGATGGTTTATTAGATGATGAGCTTTCGTGGGCCAGACCCACTTCCTCAGATCAAATAGTGGAAGAAAATAGTCACAACCATATATACCAAAGGATACAATTAAAAAAATCCAGATTCCTGAAAAGATGTACCTAAATTCCTATTAATACCCACCTATTGAAAGAGAATACAGGACTATGTAGCACTTTAAAGACTAACAAGATGGTTTATTAGATGATGAGCTTTCGTGGGCCAGACCCACTTCCTCAGATCAAATAGTGGAAGAAAATAGTCACAACCATATATACCAAAGGATACAATTAAAAAAAATGAACACATATGAAAAGGACAAATCACATTTCAGAACAGAAGGGGGATGTAGGGGGGGGGTGATAGAAGATCATAATCTGACAGCTGTTGAGTAGTCCATCTAGAGCAAGTTTGGAGTCTGTATCTAGTTTTAATATGCAAGTGACCATATGACAAACTCAACCAAAAACACATGTAGTGTGCCACCTGTCAGCCTTAAAAGACAGATTAAAGATCACAGGACATACCACACTAATACCAACCCTGGTACCTTCCCTTGCAACAAACCCCGTTGCCAGCTTTGTCCACATATTCATTCTGCTGATACCATTATTGGACCTAACCAAGTGAGTTATAAGATCAAGCACACATATTCCTGCGCATCCAGAAATATAATCTATGCTATCATGTGCTGAAAGTGTCCGTCTGCTATGTACATTGGACAAACATCTCAGACACTTCGCCAAAGGATTAATGCCCACAAAACAGATATCAGACAAGATCACAAAGAGAAAACAGTTTCTTGCCATTTTAACCAGAAAGGACACTCTCTCAATGACTTAACCACCTGCATTCTGCTACAAAGACCTTTTACATCTGCACTTGAAAGGGAATCCTCTGAACTGTCATTCATGTTAAAATTCGACACTCTCCGGGAAGGAATGAACAAAGGCTCAAACTATCTTACCCATTACCAGGATAGCTTCCCCAATTATCACCTCTAATACCATTAGATCACAGACATCTAACTCTCCCCACCTCTTATATCATTAACTCACAGACACTTACCTTCCTTCCTCTCCCCCCTCCCCCCCCGCATCCCTCTTCTGTTCTGAAATGTGATTTGTCCTTTTCATATGTGTTCATTTTTTAAATTGTATCCTTTGGTATATATGGTTGTGACCATTTTCTTCCACTATTTGATTTGAGGAAGTGGGTCTGGCCCACGAAAGCTCATCATCTAATAAACCATCTTGTTAGTCTTTAAAGTGCTACATTGTCCTGCATTTTGTTTCAGCTACACCAGACTAACACGGCTGCATTTCTATCACTATTGAAAGAGACACATGATGATTCACACTTAATTCAGATGGTCTGAGGTTTATCAGATTAGCTGGAGCTGTGATTCTGGTAAGGCACTTGGCCTGTTCTTGTAAGATTTTTCCCCAAAAAGGAAAGGAAGTCTAGTTCATGGGGGGGAAGGGAAGCATCACACTGTGGATAGCTCTGGGTGAAAGGATCACCTTATGTTTTCAAACTGATGTGACAGAATCAGACCTTTCAAATTACTACTTCAGTGGGGCTTTTGCTCAAACTGCAGAATTTGGCCCTAAAACATCCATTTGCCTGGAAAAGCAGTGGTGAGTTTTGTTGTTTTGTTTTGGGAGAGTTTTTGGTGTTGCTCTATGGGAGGGGGTGTTTTTCTTTAAAAATAAAGGAAGAAGTTCATTCCACCCTAGCATGGCCAAGAGAGAAGAGTTGAACTCAAGGTAATAGCAGTGCTGATTGCATCTAAGTAAGGCTTAGTAAAAAATGATGATGCGGGCAAGTGCCCATTAAAAGTTATCACTGAAAGACTTCACCGTGAGAGTTTTTTTGTCTGAGTAAACTGTGCCCTGGGAATGACTTTGAATTTTTAGTACTACACAGTTTGATGGATAGATACCATACGTAGTTTTGCCTTGACTTGCACTGTATGCAGTCCCACTGAATTCAATGTAACTACAAGACGCGGCAGAATTCTGCCTACAATGTCATATGATCCCGTTTATAGATGAATGGGAATCACGGCCCACTCATTTTTATTCTTTTTGTAGTTATTTTTAGTTCAAATTGAAAATAAAAATGTATGTTCCAAGCTACAATAACTTGTTCAAAAAGCTCACACAATAAATTGGGAAAAATACAGAAAGAAGATAAAAGTAGAAGCAGTCTTTATCAAAGATGTTGATTAAATATGAATGTGTCCAGTTGGCCAGCTCTGACACAGTAATATATTTAGAGATATTTTACTGTAAGACCCAAGTTTAAGACCCAAGTTGGAAGTCCGGCAGTTATTTTATCACCAGTACACCCATGGGCAAAATGCTAGTCTGATCACAAACACATTGATATAAGTAGCCAGGATTTTCACTGTCATTATGACTGTTTACCTATACGATAAAACTACAACACTACAAATAAGAGAAGATGAAGTTTGCCTTGGTAAATTTATAACGTAAGAACATCTCATGGACAATGAAGGCAATCCTCCGCCCCCAAAACAAGTGCAAATTAATTTTCCTTTTAATTGAAAGCTAGGTTTTGTATGCCACCCAAAACTGAGCTGCTAGACCATTTCCTGCGCAGAAGGGTGAGGGAACATGCAAAGAAGAAAACACTCATAGTTCCTAGAATGACTATTCCTGAAATCAATGCGCTGGTGACTGAGTTCAGCTGAAAAGGAGGTCCATTTGGATGAGCTACAAGGAAATAAAAAAAAAAGGCACTGAACGGTCTCATCAGAATCAGTTTCTACAGAGCTTTGTCTTCCTGCTACATTGCAAAACTTACAGCTATCAGGCTAATACTGAAGGGCACAGTAAGTGTATCGAATGTATTTAGGGAGCGGCTACAGGTGCATAGGTCCTTCACACACACAGGGTGAAGTGTACGTGTGCATAAGATTTGACAATATTTAAGGCATAAGCAGACCTGAACTACACCCTCAGGTGTGCAGGATGTCAGCTGTCAGGAAACCTAACTCTTTCTTATTTAACTAGCCAATTAGCCCGTCATAAGACGGGATTTTCAGGTCTCTCCTCCACGTTGGTCTTCTCTCCTGAGCCTTCGGTCTCTCGCTCCATCTCTCTCTCCTCCTCCTCCTCCCTCCCCCTCTCTCAGCTCCCCTCTGCCTCCTGCCTCTCTCTCCGTCTCTCTTTCTCTTCTCCTCCCCCTCCTGCCTCTCACTCGGGGGACTGCGGAGCCCAAACGGTTGCTTGCGCAGCTTGCTCCCGTGCGGCAGCCCGGCACAGATATCGGCCGACCACCACTGTGGGAGGTGAAGGGGGGTGGGCCGGTGATGTTCATGGCCAAGGGGCAGGACCTGAAGCTGCTGTCACGCTGCATGTCAGCGCGCCGCTTCACCTCCCACAGTGGCTCTCGGCTGACTTTTGCGCCACTCATCTGGGCTGCCACGGGGGAGCAGCACAGAAGTCAACCAAGCGACACGATGGGAGGTGAAGGACGTGACTCAGGCAACAGCGCCGCCCAGAGGGAACTGCCAGCATTTCAGCCTTACAGAGTCACAGACATTGGGCTACTATATATATGATGCCAAGTAACCAGTAGACATGATTTTATTATGGAGGAGGAAACCTTAACAAGGATCTGGATTCCCCACTATTTAAATGTGCTGGAGGACGGAAGGACTAGGGTAAAGGCGGGGAACCTTTTTTGGATCGGGGTTGCTGACCCCCAGAAAAAAATCACTTGGGGGCTGCACACAAGGTGATCTGGAGAAATAGCACTTCTGACAAATTACAAACCTCCTTTCCCCTACACCACCCCTATACCACCACATTTTTTCCTTAAAGCCTACTACCACCAGAGCAGAAGCATTGGGCTCTGTAGATACCTTACCAAAACAATTTGTGTGGTTCCTATGGTTACATCCAGGACAAAGGTCATCAACAGGAGGTCTTTTACCTTTTTGCACTCTGAAGTTGCACCGTAAGGGCCATTCCGTGGTTCAACTCATCGGCTATAGGAGATGACTTTATTGCTTAAACCTTAGGTTTTGTCTCTGGTACTTGCACTGCTTTGGAATGTGTCAGAGCAGCATAAACAGGGTTGCATTTGCTCTGCCATTTCATTTCCCTAGTAGAGACTGAAATTCACTATCATGTTGGGGCTGAGTACAATGAACTTAATTGAGCACTTCAGATCTACCAGCTGCTTTCTTTTTTTCATTTTTAAATTCATGGTAATAAAGAAAAGTGTACACTACATACAACTGAATCCAAATAGTTTCTGCACTCATTAGCGTAGCCCTCTTGTAACACTACTCTTCTGAATCTGATTAACTTACCAAGCTGTGAATTGTTGGTTGGTGTCTCATCTGTATAAAAAATACAAATATCGAGGTATTATATTTTACAGACATCAATATCCGCACCCCCTCTGCACTTCCAAAAAACAGACAAAAATAAAGCTAAGATTATCCCAAAACTCCACAAATATACTCATCACTATAGATGTCTTTGTTCAAGTCAGGCTAGGAACATTAATTATGAGACTCTTCCTAATTTTTACTGTGAGGATATATTGGTCTTATGCACCAATAATTACTCCGCAAAAATAATCTTTGTTCAAGATCCATTTATCTGAACGTATTGCTAATTCTTTTCTGCCCCATTT